GGTGTAAATGCTTCATATGCATTATCCTAGTCCAAATCTGTCTGCTACTCTTTGAAGCAGGAACTATTTTATCATTTACCGTGAAGCAGAGGAACAGAGAGATTAAGTCACTTGCTCAAGGTCACCTAGCTCTTAAGTAGTAGAGCCATAGTTCAAATTTAGGTTTGTGAAGTTCTTCACTATCTTCTGTCTCTGGGATCTTCAGAAAGATGACATATGCATTATCCTAGTCCAAATCTGTCTGCTACTCTTTGAAGCAGGAACTATTTTATCATTTACCGTGAAGCAGAGGAACAGAGAGATTAAGTCACTTGCTCAAGGTCACCTAGCTCTTAAGTAGTAGAGCCATAGTTCAAATTTAGGTTTGTGAAGTTCTTCACTATCTTCTGTCTCTGGGATCTTCAGAAAGATGACCTTGACTTAGGGTCAAAGCCTCAAGTCCAACTAGCTCCAGAATTGCCCCGCCCCATCTTTCTTGCTCCGCGGCGTGGTGATGGCAGTCAGAGGCCAGGAGGGGGCGCCCCAGGGAAGGGGTGTTGGAGGACAGGCAGAATGCGTACCTCGGAAACAGAAGGCATGGTGGCGGGACAGCGGGTCTGGGAGGCCGGTCTGGTTGGGATAGAGGTAGACAGTCCTCACGCCCGGCTTGTCCCCGCCGCAGGCTGGCCGTGGGGTGATGATGGGGTAGCGGAGGCTGCCGTCGGCCAGCCAGCCGGCGTAGCACTTGTCCAGGCCGCGGATCCAGGCTGCGTAGAGCTGGCCGGTGGAAGCCAGCGTGGCGTTTTGGGATTCACAGAATGCCAACGCCTCATAGAAGGTGAACTGCTCCGTGCGTGTGGCAAAGAACACCTCCCCTGGGGACAGAGGCAGGTGGCTGTGTGACCGTCCATCCCTGCCCCCAGGGGCAGAAATCCTTAGCGCTGCAACTATACTGGCAGGGGCTGACACCAGCCACCGGCCTGGGGTGGTCACACCCTCTAGCCAGGCCCTTAGTGCCTCGGGTTTTACTGGACTCAGCTTCCGGTGCTGTGAAGAGGCAATGACCCAGCAGAGCTGGCTGAGTTGGGCACACTCTCTGCAGGACGCACTTTCTGATCCTTCCTTTCTTTCTGGATTGTGCGTTACACTTAGGCCCCCTCTTCTTGGCTGAGACCCTCCCATCCCAGCCACATGAGCCTTGCACTTACCAGGAAGCCTCAGGGATGCTGTAGCCATCCCTCCCACCTGTGAGCTCAACAAGAGCAGGGTGGGTCCCAGCACCCAGCATGGCACCCAGGTGCCTGTGTGTGTAGGGGGGAGGGGGCTTTCACAGCTACTTAACACTTCTTATGCCAGGCACTTTTCACAAGCATCTCACTTAGTACTAAAAAAAAAAGCCTCTAATGTGGTACATTTTTATAGATGAGTAAACTGAGTCTGGAGACATTAGGTGACCTGCCCAGGGTCCTGAAACAATGGATGGCAGTGCCAAAACTTTTCCACAACACCAGTGTCCCTCAAATTGTATTCAGCGTGACAGTGATTTGATAATTTTCTTTCTTTCCTTCACACTCGAACTCGGGTCCTTGCACTTGCAAGGCAGACAGCGGCACCATTGAGCTAAATCCCTGCTCCCACCCCCCACTGTGCTTTTTTTGAGACAGGTTCACTGTGTAGTACAGGCTGGCCTCAAACTCGTGACAATCCTCCTGCTTCAGCCTCCCTAATGCTGGGATTACAGCTGTGTGCCACCACACCCTGCTAGGTGATTTTCATTGAAAATAAAAAGATGTGAAATAAAATAAAGGCCTGTGGTTGAAAAAGCTTGGGGTAGACACAGGTAAAGAGATTTCTTATTGCAGGACTTCTCAGAGCCTTTGATTTGCTCATGGGCAATGGACTCTCTAAGAGCAGACAGCATATGTGACATTTGATGGTAATGGATTAATTGTGGACCCACAGGACTCATGGCTTTACAAGGAGCCAGGACCCTGCAATGCTGGGGAGCCACCAGAGCCCTGGGGAAAGAGACATGGGCTGGAAGTGAGGGGCTGTGTGGCCCTTCTTCCTGAAACAGCAGCTCTGCTCCTGGAAGGCAGTGAGGGAAGGGGCTGGGGGTGCTAATTCCCTTCCTCTTTGTCCCCTCGCCCTGCCCATCTAGGGCCAGGAGGAAGACTGTGGCCTTACCCTCGAGCTTGTCCACGTAGCAGTAGACATCATAGGTTTCTGATGGTGGACGCACACCGTAGGTCCTCACCCCGGGGCTGTTGTCCTTGTCACCCACACACGGCATCCGTGGGCTCACAATGGGGTATCTGCAGAGGGGTAGGATGGGAAGATGAGTACCTGTCCCGTGGGGCAAGGGGGTGAAGGAATGTGGGCACGGTGTGTCTTGGGATGTCTGATGGGATTCAAACCCGATGCAGTGAGTTCCCTGGGTCCCTGCTTCAGAAGAGACTGGCTACCCAGAAGGGCGCTGGGCCTCGCTGGAGGGCACCACGGGGCTACAGGAGGGGTTTTCCTCTGTATGTCTCCTGAGGCGAAACGAGCAACAACTTAATCCAGTGCCCCTCACTGACTTTCAGACTAGGCTTTTGTTTGACTGCGACATTTACGGAGAAGCGAGACTCACTCATGAGCCAATGAGTCCGTAAGGTGGTAGGTGTTGGACTGGGACAGGGTTCCTTGGGCCTGGCCCCTGGAGGTTGGGGGCTGGGAGGGGGTGAGCGGCCCTTTACCTGACAGTCTGGTCGTGCAGCCAGCCAGCATCGCACTGCTCGTAGCCTGCCTCGTAGGCGGCCTGGAGCTGTTCTGGGGAGGCCATGATGGCATCCGTGTCCAGGCAGGCCTGCCGCGCCTCCTCGAAAGTCAGCGAGTAGCGGGTGGGCCCGGGGCGGTAGTGGAACACGACCCCTGGGTGGGGTGGAGAGGGAGAGGAGCCAAGGTCACGCTCAGCTGCCCATGGCCTATTCTGAGCCCACCCCTCCCTCCTGATGCATTGGATTTGTTCGGGCAATTTGGGCGGAGATCTCACTTGCTGGCACTGAGGGTGGAAGGGCAGACGGCAGTGTCTGTGTGCTTCTCCCCTGGCATGCCACCACGACCCACAGGAAGCCACACCAGCATGCCCTTCTGTTCAAGGACTTGAATTTTGGGAATAGCCATGTGACATCCCGGCTCTTGGGACATTTACTGGGCACATGGACCAGGACCACACAGTAGCTGTTTCTGGCTATGGGGCCCACACAGCCTCTGTCATAACAACTCCGCTCCACTGCCATTGCCTAAGTCAATCACAGACAACCCGTCAGCAAATGGGGACGGCATTGTTCCAATCAAATCTTATTTGTGGACACTGAAATTTGAATTTCACTTAATTTTCACGTGTCACATGTATTCTTTGGAGCCCTGTCCCTCAACTATGTAAGAGCATAAAATCCTTTCATAGTTCACAGCCACACGGGAACAGCAGGCTTTGTTCCACTGACTCCAGTTTGCCGAGTTTTGCCCCGGCAGGGCGGATGGGTGGAGGGGAAGAGGCCTCAGGATCATCTAGGTTTTTAAGTGGGTCCACTTTGGGGTAGCGCCTGATGGGGCAGGGAGGGGTCCCTGATAGGAGGAGCCCCAGTTCTCCAGTCTACTTAGATCTGTGGTGCTTTTATTTGCTTGACATGTACGGGGTGATCAAAATATATGGTGAATGCTTAAATGAAAAAAATATATTACAGTAAAAGGACACATCGCCATTAATCCCCTCCAAATACTTCCCCTCCCTTCAAACACACTTATGCCCTCATCTTGTCACTTTCTGGAGCAGCTCTGGAAAGTCCCCTTTCCTGCATGTCTTTATGCGGTGTGATAAAAAAACAAAACATGGTAAATTCTGCCACTGAGGGCCACCCAACAGAAAGGCAGGCTCACAAAAACGTGACACTGTCTCCTCATCCACTCTATTCACTGGATCTGCTATCGTGAGATTTCTGTTTCTCCCTCCAAGTCAAAATGACTGTGAAAGGTGAACATTTTAAGTTGAGTCGGGACACTGAGGCAGCCATGACTGTGCAGACACTCTGGAAAGAGGACTTCCGGACCTGCTTCAGAAAGTGGCAAGAGTGATAGGATAAGGGTATCTGAAACAAGTTGGAATATTTTGAGAGGGATTAAAGGCAATTTGCCTTCTACTGTGATAAAATTTTAAAACAGTTAAACATTCACAGTATGTTTCAATGTATCCTGGTCTCTACGTATGACTTCATTGGAGATTAATGATTTGTGGCAAAAAAAGTGGACATGATTGCTGTGGCCTGTCCACCCCCAGGTTCCAAGAGGCACACTCAGGCCTGGCGGGTGGGACACAGTGGCAGGACACATGGCTGCTGCTGAGGGCCAGCCCCAAGCGGGTACACACCTCTTCGTTCTACATACAGGACAGAAAAGCTGCAGGGAGGAGAAGCTGGTCCCACGCCCCAGGTCAAGTCCAAAGCGCAGCAGGATAGCTCCTGACCCGTAGGCCTGCCTGAGGTATCCCCCAGGGGTGAGTACTTACCACCCGGCAAACGGGGCTGCCCAGGGACCTCGGCTCCCCCTGGGGCAATGGTCATCGGCAGGACCAGGTCCTCGCTGGGGAAGGTCGTAGGGTGGAACTCCTCAGGAAGGCCCCAGGGCCGGGTGACCTCTTCAGTTTCATTCTGGGCCTCAGGGAAGGCTGTGGCCTCCACGTCTGGGGCAAACGTGAAGGGCTCCTCGGGCCCCAGGTCGGTGGGGGAGACCTCGAAAATGGGCTTCACTGTGAGGATCACATTCCCTCGAGCTTCCCCCTCTGTGATGTTTCGAGGCAGAGGCAGCTCCATGTCGGGCCAGGTCACTGTCTGGATGGTGATGTCCTCCTCACCACCCGCACTGAAGAAATTTTCTGGGATGTCTATAAAGTCTTCACCTGGGCAGAGCACAAAGGCAGGCTTTAACCATTCTGCCACACCTCTTTCCCTCCTGGGGCGCTGGGCACCTGGCCCAGCCCAAGCAGGTCCTCAGCTGTCTGACCACAGTTGTCCTCTGGTATCCATGGGGACAGATTCCAGAGCCCCGTGCAGACACCAAAATCTTCAGGACCCTTCTATAAAATGTGTACTCTTTGCACAGAACCTACCACACATCCTGCCATGTCCTTTAAATCATCTCTAGATTGCTTACAATACTTTATACCATATAAATGCCATGTCAGTGGCCGTTGTGTTGTTTATGGAGTAGCAGCAAGAGAAAAAGTCCATACAGCTTTAGTACAGACACGGTATGCTTTCCCCCAAATATGTTTGAACTGAGATTGGTTGAATCCGCAGATACTTGAAAAATATCAACCAATCAGCATATTGCTTCCAAAATCAGTTGCAAGCCTGATGCCCTTCCTGCTTGATCTCAGCAGCCACGTCACCCATCTTATGAGCCCTCCACCAGCCATCCAGTAGAACGGGGTAAATCAGTTACAAAGGGAAGTGGTCAGATCTGTGGAACCTGTAGTTCATGAAACAGATGAAGGTGGCGTTGGAGATCTGCCAGCCTCATGGCCCTGCACAAATGAGGGGCAGGCTGAAATAAGCCAGTTACTTAATAAAGAGGAAAAGCATATGGTGAGACTTCCGAAGAGGGGCTAGACTTTCAAAAGCTTAAGAGAGGCCATGGAGGGCAGAGTCCTAGTTATTTTTGCAACACTAACTTTCTTTGTGTAAGACCAAACTATGTAACTGAAACATGAACTGGTCTGTCATTGTCACCAGTTCTGTTGAAAAAGTTATAAAAGTTGTCATCTATGTTATTCATTTTCCTAAAAAAATAAGCATTCGTTATCTGACATATGCTAAATATAAGAAAAATTATTTTTAAAATACAGTCTAATTTTTCATAATAAAGCCCCTACCTTTTTCTATTCTTTCAATAACAGGCCCTCTTTCTAATTCAATATATTTTTTCAGTATTTCATTTTCCTAAAAAAATAAGCATTCGTTATCTGACATATGCTAAATATAAGAAAAATTATTTTTAAAATACAGTCTAATTTTTCATAATAAAGCCCCTACCTTTTTCTATTCTTTCAATAACAGGCCCTCTTTCTAATTCAATATATTTATTTTCAGTATTTTTTTTTTTTTGAGACAAGGTCTTACTTTGTAGTTCAGGTTGGCTCTGAATTCACTATGTGGGCTGGGATGTAGCTCAGTGGCATCTTGCCTGCCTTGCAAGCATAAGGTCCCGAGTTTGATCCCTGGTACCCCCCCATGAACTCACTATGTAACTCATGGTGATCCTCCTGCCTCAGCCTCCTAAGTGCTGGGATTACAGGTGTGCACCCAGCTCTATTTTCAGTATTTTAAAAAATTTACTTGTAGTACTGGTAATTGAACCCAGAGTTTTCATATTGAGCTACAATCCCAGCCCTTTTAAAGTTTTGCTAAGCTGCTAAATTGCTCAGGTTGCGCTGGAACTTTCAATCCTTCTGCCTCAGCCTCCCAGAGTGCTGAGATTACCAGCATACACCACAATGGATGGGTTAATTCAATTTAAAAAGGCAGGCAAAAGTGCCTTCCTGTGAGTTCATGGTCTCATAACAGGCCCTCACCATCTTCCACGGGGTAGCCCTCTCTCTAGTACACAGACTGCTACAGTAAGGCTCAGAGCCTTGACTTTCCCATGGCTTTATGATCATAGGCAGCAGAGCTGTGATTCAGGCCTGAGAAAACACAGACTCCAAAGCACATGCTTTTAACCTTGTTCCGTGTGGATGTCATGAGACAGAGTTGGATATGCTGTGGCCTCCTGCGTCTTTACTTTAGGAAGCAGCAAAAATGGGGGCAGGTTTGATAAAACATAGGGTTTGTCCCTTGAAGGGACAAACAAATCCCAGCCCTCCCTTTCCAAGACCTTCTCTTCCTCTGGGACCTGGTGTCAGGGGAGTGAGCCCCCCCTGCCCGGGCTCCAGCCCTACCTGTGTAGCAGATGGCGTCGTAGCGGGATGAGGGGTCGGGGTACCCGGTCTGGTTGGAGTGCAGGTAGACGGTCCTCACGCCCAGGAGGTTGCCCCCGCAGTTGGGCCGGGCCTTGGAGATGGGGTAGCGGACGCTGCGGTCGGCCAGCCAGCCCGCGCTGCACATGTCCATGCCGCCCTGCCAGGCCAGGTAGAGCTGGCCCGTGGTTGCCAGGCGCGCGCCCAGCCGTCGGCACTCGCTGGCGGCCTCCTGGAAGGTGAACTTCTCCTGGGACGTCGCATAGAAGACCTCGCCTGTGCAGGGCAGGGGTGGCCTGGTGAGGTCTCCCTCCCACCTTCCCTGGCCTGAGTCCCCCAGCGACCCACATCTTTCCTCCAGGTTTGAATCCACAAGTCCGTATCTCAGATCTTGCCCTTAATCTCCCATTTTCCCATCTTTTTCTGAGCTTTTGGGGAGGGACGGCTCTAATGTCCTAAAACAGGGGACCAAGAGAAGAGAAAAGCAGCCAAAATGAAAATGCGTGGAACAAAACCAGGAGGAAAATCTGGCTAACAGCATCTTTGCATGGCCGCTTGCGGTGCAGCTTCCCACCACTAGGGGCGCCTTCCTATGTGTCAAGGCGTTGCCCTACAAAGCAAATCTGTAAAGCTCTCATTCCAATGGGAAAACAGGGCTCTGAAGGGGCAGTGGACCTGATGGTCAGAGAGACCAGAATCTTGCCTGGGAGGAGCAGTGCCAGGTGAAAGTCTTCCTTTCACAGGGACTTGAGGGCCCAGTAGTGACATTAGACAGTTTGCAGACGTTTGGGGTCACTGAGGCCCTCTCCCTGGTGGACAGAGGGTCCAGACTGGTAGCCCCCTTTAATCCCCTTATGGGGGAGAATTTAGGGGGGCGGCCTCACCCTCCATCTCCTCGGCGAAACAGTACACGTCATAGGTCTCGTTGGTGTCCCGGATGCCGTAGGTTCTCACCCCAGGAAACTCGTCCTTGTCCCCGTAGCAGCCTTCCCGGGGAGTGTGGATGGGGTACCTGTCAGAGATCCGAAGTGGACTGTGACCCTGGGACAGAGGGACGTCCATGGTCCGTGCCCTGTAGCCTTGTCCCTTGCAAGAGGAAGGGCACCGGAGCATCGATAGAATTTGACTGTGTCTGCTCTATTACTGTGCCCTCTCTGCTTCTATAGGTATTAAGGGGTGAAGGCAGGCAGCCTTTTACTGAATATTTATTGGTACCAAATACTCTATCAGACTTCTGATATAAGCTTTTTCTGTAAAATGCCAGATAGTAAGGTTTTTAAAAAATTTTTAAATTTTGTACTGGGTATTGAACCCTGGACCTTTGCACTGATTTATATCTCCAGACCTTTTTTATTTTGAGACAGGGACTTGCTAATTCCCCAAGTTGCCCAGGTGGGGCTTGAACTTTTGATCCTCTTGCCTCAGTCTCCCAGAGTTTTTTTTGGCCCATAGTCTCTGGGGTCAACTGAGCAGGAGGCAGTGCAAAGGGAAGCAAACAACCCAAGGTCTTGAGCAAGTATCAAGAAACCAGACAGAGCAAGAACAGCTATGTCAAAACACTGGGAAGCCAGCAGAGGAAGGGTATCCTGTACCCCCAAGACCTCTAGGCATGTATGAAGCCACAAATATCTAATTCTGGTCCATAAACAACCTTATTTGCATTGTGGTTTCAACCCTCTCTCCCTATGAGCATTGGACACCATGACACTTCCTTTAAATCCATGTATGGTAAAAAACTCTCCCTCCCAATAGGTGTTGGAGGCAGGTATCCCATTGGGCCATGACTCCTGTCTATCCCCAGCTGTGGGTCCTCTCATAACCCCAGGACTTTAAGAGACCAGTGCCTGCTCCTAGGTGTGGGAGGTTTTCTTACTGGCCACTCCCACCCTGAGGAGTGTATGTTCCCTTCTTTCCTTTTAATAAACCTCATTCCTCTGTCCTGTCTTTATTCAGGATACCAAGAGCCTGGAAATACTCCCCTGAGACTTCCCATCTCATAACACCACTACCATGGTAGCACAAAATGGTGACAGATGATATATAACCCAGGAAGGGCACCTGTGTTCCAATAAAACTTTATTTACAGAAACAAGGTGTTGGGTTTGACCCGTGGGCTGTAGTTTGTTGAATCCTGCTCTGTATCACTTGACTCTTATGTCAACTTAAGGAGGCTTAAGGTGCTATAAAAAGTCTATTCAACTCCTGAAGAAATGGGGGTCACGCAGGGTCACACAGCATCCAGGGCCTGCACTGGGGTTTGAGTCCAGCTCTTTCTGAGGCCAAAGTGTGGGCTCTTACACTGTGCCAGGCTTTTGTCTCGCTTTGCTTATGTATTGGTTCTTATGTTTAGTGTTTTTTGTGCCCTGATCTCTCTTTACTGTGTGAGATCACGAAGCCATTTTGCGTTGTCTCCTCCTGAGGCTGAGAGCTTCTGGGGTTAGAGCTATGATTGGCTTGGGATGAAGAGCACAGCTGTCCTTTCAGGTCTCGGCACTGTGCTGACACCTCCAGGGCAGGGCTCTCTCAAAATAAAGTCCTGTCTCAAAGTCCTGCTTTGCCATCTATTGGGCACTACCTGCAATTAAAAGGTGCACAAGAAATTTCGTGTATGTATGTCTTGCTGTATTAGAAACAAGAACACAAGGTGATTTACAAAAATATATCAAACTTTAAAGTTAAAAAAATGAAAACTGAGTGTGGTGGTGCATGCCTGTAATCCCAGCACTCAGGAGGAGGCTGAAGCAGGAAGATCACAAGTTGGTGTCCAGCTTGGGCAACTTAGCAACCTAGCAAGACTGTGGAGGTAGCTTAGGGTGAAGGCTTTGGATTCAATTCCAGGACCCAAATAAAACAGAATCAAACCAAACCAGACCAGACCAGACTGGTTAGTAAAGAGGCCTTGGCAAAAGGAACAGAGGGCAGGAGAGTAACGAATGCAGCCATTCCTCCATTGTGAGAGAATGACCAGGGTCTGGGGCAGGGCACGACTTGGTCCCTGGTCCAGGCTGGTCGAGTGTCACCTGGGCGCAAGTCCAGTGCTGGTCTGTGCTCCATCACCAGCCCCCCTGCACTGTGGCCCTGAGCAGGCCCAGCCCTGAGTCCCTCCACTCACCGCACAGTCTGGTCAGCCAGCCAGCCCGCATCGCACTGGTGGAAGCCGTCCTCATAGGCGGCCTGTAACTGCTCGGGTGTGGCGATGATGGCGCTGTTTTGCAGGCAGGCCCTCTGGGCCCTGTCGAAGTCAAGGGTGTAGCGTGTGGAGATGGCTCTGTAGTGGAACACAATGCCTGCCAGAGGCACAGTGAGACAGCCGGTGAGGGGCAGCCCTGGCCACGAGGCCCCCCAGAATCACAGCAATGATCAGGGACCTTTAGGAGTGTGGACCCCCTCTCCATCTTTGCATGTGGTCCCTGTCATCTTGCTGGAATACTTCTGGTAACAGGGGACTCACTACCTCACAAGGCCTTTCTTTTTGAATACCTATAATTCTGATAATCAGAAAGTTCTTTGAACAAAACTAAAATCTAACTCTTCATTAATTTCTTTGTTACTCTAGGATCCCGGATTGTTTTCCAGGGAAGAGACACTCAGGGTCCCCAGCACCCTCAGCCCAGGGTCATTGTGCTAGAGCCCAGAGACCAGGGCATCTGCAGCCCTTTCTTTGGCTTCTGGAATTGAGAATGAGGGACTGGAGGAGGAGAAGGAAGAGGAGGAAGAGGAGGAGGAGGAGGAGGAGGAGGA